AACCTAGGTCCTCTGCAAGATCAGCCAGTGCTCTTAACCACGGAGCCATCTCTCCAGCCCAAGAAGTATATTTTATAGAAGGGGCTGTTTTCCTTTCCATCTCTCTTTTTCTTCTCCCTCCCTCCTTCCTTCCCTCCCTCTCTACCCCCACTTTTCTCTCTCTCACCCCTACTACAGGGTCTCATGTAGTCCGTGTTGGCCCCAAACTTGGTATGTATCTAGGGATGACCTTGAAGTCCTGGTCCTTCTGCCTCCTGCTCCCAAATACTGGGCTGTGCAGTACCAGTCTGGCTTCTTTTCCTCTCTTTTATAGGATTTATTTTATTTATGTGTATGTGTATATAGTTGCAAATGTGTGTCACTGTGCGCAGGTGCCCTTGGAGGCCAGAAGAATGCATTGAGCCCTTGAGCTGGAGGGACAGGTAGTTGTGAGCTGCCCAACATGGGTACAGCAAGTGCACGTAAGTGCTAGCCATCTCTCCAGCCCCTTTGTTTTATGTTGTTGTTGTTGTTGTTATTACTACTACTTATTATTATTTGGTCTTTTTGAGATAGAGTCTCCCTGTAGCCCCAGCTGTCCTGGAACTCACTATGTAGACCAGGCTGGCCTAGAACTCACAGAGATCCACCTGCCTCTGCCTCCCAAGTACTGGGATTAAAGGTGTGCACCACCACGCCTGGCTATTTTTTTTTAATTTATTATTTTTATTTTATGTGTATGCGTGTATTGCCTGCATGTAGGTAAGTGCACCCATGTCATGCAATGCCCTCGGAGGACAGAAGAGGCTGTTGGATCCCCTGGGACTGGAGTTACAGACAGTTGTTAGCTGCCATGTGGGTGCTGGGATTTGAACCCAGGTCTTCTGCAAGGACAGCCAATGCTCTTACCCACTGAGCCATCTCTCTGGCCCCCTTTCTCTTTCTTTTAAACATCTCCTTTTTTTGTCCTAGAATAGACAAGCCTCATGCTGTTCAACCTCAGAGTTTTACTCACTTGAGATAGTCACCATGAGACCCACAGTTAATAAAATCAAAGGAAGCTGTTCCCTGGCTGAGGAGGAGACCTTAGATCGTGGTGGAGCCAGTGTCATCAATACTCTTAGGAGCTGATGCTTGAAATTGTATCTGACTCTATTTGGAAAGATTTTGTGGTTTTGAAACTTTTCTTAAAAATTACATTTGGGTCTGGAGAGATGGCTCAGCAGTTAAGAGCACTGGCTGTTCTTGTAGAAGACCTGGGTTCAATTCCCAGCACCCACACGGTGGCTAACAACCATCTCCAGTTCCAGGGGATTCAACAGCCTCTTCTGACCTCCTAGGGCATTGCATAACATGGGTGCACTTACACACGCAGACAATACATTCATACACATAAAAATAATAATAAAATTTTTGAATTGCACTTGGAGGATTAGAAGAACGAAGTGGGTAAAGCAGTGTGGTGTGTATTTTAAAAGCCAGTGGTGGTCAAAGCCTTTTGCTGGCGTAGCTGGTGCCTCTCTCCAGGTAGCAGCTGCCATTGCTTGCTGAGGTGATATTAATCACAGATGCTGCAGGAACTTGAAGAAAGCCGAGCAGAGCTTTTCGTAGAACACTCCCAAAGTGATTTGTCTGGTTTAACTGTAGGCTGATAAAACTAATCTTGAGAATCTCTTAGCTCAGTGAAGCTTGAGTGAATAGTTGCTGTGCTAGGAATGGAATGACGTCACTTCAGGGGAGGTGACAGCTCTGCCCACAGCCGTCCAGATGGCTGTCAAGTAGGTGGCACAGTATGAGACCACAGCCTCCTTAAAGGTCACCGTGCAGCATGGGCACAGAGCTCACATACAGATGAGGAGGCCACTTGGTTAGCTCGTGACCTTGAAAGCCTCAGGTGAGTGGCTGTGTGGCTGTGTGACTTTCCCCGAAAATATCACAGGTCTCTCAGCATCAGGACTGGGTGATGCATTTCTAGACGTCTATGGTCCTTCACTCTGTGGTTGCTTTATTGGTGATTGGTGTGAGAGGCTACAGACAGATACGTCAATATGGCATCTCAGAAGAGTTCTGTTTTCCTGGGACCCACACCACAGGCAGAGTTAAGTACCTGGTGTCCATTGTTTTATTTAATCTGCAGTTTATCTTCCCTAAATAGAATGGTGCACCGTCTCATTGTATTGTAAGGAATGATTGGAAAAGTTGAGACATAAGGATGTTAAGAAATCTAGCCAAGGGGCTGGAGAGACAGCTCAGCGATTAAGAGCACTGACTGTTCTTGCAGAGGACCCAGATTCAATTCTCAGCACCCACATGGCAGCTCACAACCGTCCCTAACTCCAGTTCCAGGGGAATTCGACGCCCTCTTCTGTCCGCAGGCATTGCACATGGGTGCAGTCACATACGTGCAGGCGATTCACCCATACACATAAAAAATAATAAGTAAAATATTATAAAAAAAGAAATCTAGCCAAATGCAGTTGTAAATGACAAAGTCTACAGGTCAAGCAGATGAACAGGTGTGGGCTCTTAACGACCCTGTTATGCCCCCTCCCCTCCATTGCAGGACGTGAGCAAGTCAGAATCCTAAGGACAGCAAATCAAAACCTCAGTGTGATGCCACCTCACACCTACCAGGCTGGCTACCGTTTTCTTAAAATGGAAAAATCACAAGTGTTAGTATGTGGAGAAGTCAAAACCCTCATTTGCTGCTGGTGGGAAAGAAAATGATATAGCAGCTGTGGAAAAGTCTGGCAACCCCCTCCACAGCATGAGACAGAGCCACCAGTTGGCACAGCAATTCCACTCTTTAAAAAAAAAAAAACTATTATTTTTATTTTATGTGTATTGCCTGCAAATAGGTAAGTGCACCAGTGTCATGCAATGCCTGTGGAGGCCAGAAGAGGCTGTCGGATCCCCTGGGACTAGAGTTACAGACAGTTGTTGGCTGCCATATGGGTGCTGAGATTTGAACCTGGGTCTTCTGAAGAACAACCAGTGTTCTTAACTGCTGAGCCGTCTCTCCAGCCCCCAATTCCACTCTTAAGTGCACATAAGAGAATGAATCAGCTCCACACACAAACCTATAGCAGCATTGATCATAAGAACCCCAAGTGGAAACAAGCCAGACGTCCATGAAGTGTTGGATGGATAAACAGAATATAACATGTCCTTCTAATGGAATATTACTACATCAAGAAAAGGAGTGAAGTACTATACAGTCTGCAACATGGATGAATCCTGGAAACAGGCTAAGTGAAAGAAACCTGCACAGAGAACCATGTATCTCCTGATTGCATTTTGTGAAATGACCAGAATAAGAAGATACAGAGACAGGAAAGGTAGTGGGCATCCAGGCCTGCAGCACAGGGGATGGCAGATGTGGGCTTGATGGAAATGCTCGAATTAGCTAGTGGTGATAGCATAGTGAATACAATACAATTTGCTGAACTGCGGGCACCTTAAAATGTTGCCTTCTATGTTAAGAGACCAGATGACTTTAGGGTCCATCCAGGAGGTCCTTGAGCCCTGAACTACAGGCCCAGGTTTTGTGTGGGCACCGGAAGCCACTGGAAGCTCCTCTTAGAAAAGATTTTATTTTGGAGCTGGGTGTAGTGGTGCACACCTTTAATCCCAGCGCCCAGGAGGCAGAGGCAGGGGGACCTCTGTGAGATTAAGGCCAGCTTGGAATGGTCTACATAGCAGGTTTCAGGCCAGCTGGGGTTACATAGTGAGACCATATCTCCCCTACCATAAAAAGATTTAAATTTGTTTGTTTATTTATTTATTTAGAGTCAAGGTCTCACTATGTAGCCCTGGCTGGTCTGGAACTTGCTAGGTAGACCAGACTGGGTTTGATTGTACAGAAATCCACCTGCCTTTGTCTCCAAAATGTTGGGATTAAAGGTGTGCTTCCCCAGCTTATCTCTATTTTTGATTGTGTGTGTGTCTGTGTCTGTGTCTGTGTGTGTGTCTGTGTCTGTGTGTGTGTGTGTGTGTGCTCGTGCGCAACTGCCCTCAGAAGCCAGAAGAGAGCATCAGATTCTCTGGAGCTGGAGTTACAGGTGGTTGTGAGCTACCTAATGTCAGTGCTAGGAACCAAACTCCAGCCTTCTGCAAGAGCCGGTAAGGGTACATAACCACTGAACCATCTCTCCAACCCCACCACTGGAAGTTTCTAAGAAGGTAGTGACATTAGTCTCTCCTATAAACTTGAAAAGTGCTTAGTGTTTAGTAAATACCAGATCTCTTCTTTCCCCTATGCCTCAATCCAAGAACAAACCTCTATTTCTCTTCTGGAAAAAGATTTTTTTGTTTGAATCCTAACGGAAAAATCCATCTATTTTAGATTTTTAAAAAATCTTTAAAAAAAGAGACAGGGTTGCCAGGTGTGGTGGTGCACGCCTTTAATCCCAGCACTAGGGAGGCAGAGGCAGGTGGATCTCTGTGAGTTCGAGGCCAGCCTGGTCTTCATAGTGAATCCAGGCCAGTTGTGACTACAGGGAGACCCTGTCTCAGAAAGACAAAACAAACAAACAAACAAATAAAAAGACAGGGTCTCGTTTTGACTCAGGACTCACGGTCCTCCTGCTCCAGACTCCCAAGTGCTGGGATCACGGGAGTGAGCCTCTGGGTCTGGCCACTCTCAATGCTATCCTGCAGTCACTAGGTGCTGAACAAGTCCATCTCAGTCTTCTCCTCCTCTGCATCCTCCCCACCCTCTCTCTTCCTGTTCCTCCCCCTCTCCTCTTCCTCCCTTCTCCCCCCCATTCTTTCCCCTCACTCTTCTTTGCTTTTCTTCATTCCTCTTCATCCTCCTCTTCCTCTTGCAGGTTTCACCTAGATGTATATCAGTGCACCTGTGTCACACCATGCCTGAAGAGGTCAGAAGAGGGAGTCGGATCTCCTGGAACTGGAGTTATGGACGCTTGTCAGCTGCCATGTGGGTGCTGGGAATCGAACCCAGGTCCACTGCAAGAGCAGCCAGTGCTCTTAACCACTGAGCCATCTCTCCAGCCCCCACTTCTTCCTTTTTTATTTAGGTTAAAAGCATGTTTTTCTAAAAACTCCTTGTGGGTCTCCACTTTGGACAGTATCTACTACTGCCTGTGGGTGTCCGGCTTCCCTTGACTCCACTCCCCATCCCCCCATCTCCCTCCTCCCCAGTCTCTCACACACAGATGCAGCTCAGTGAGAGAGTCAGTTCCAACTCTGTCCTGCTGATCATCTGACTGGCCACACAGACTGAGCCCTGTCATCTGCATAAGGCCACCCTGAAAATAACTGCAGGGAGATCAACCCCTGGGGTCCCTTTGAGGGTTGTACAGCACTTGCTAAAGTACAATTTGGTGCTGGGTCAAGAGGAAGCTACCTGTTTTTATGGAGTTAAGAGCTAGAAGATCTTCACTTAGAAGTTGGTTTCATCCTGCAAGTCACGAATGTCTTAAGCTGCTGTAAATGACTAAATCCTTTTCCCAAAGTTGATTGGGAAATATCTTAGTAGCAGAGAATTGATTCCAAGAAACCATCTGAAGTGACATTATCAGGTGGGGACAGGGGCTCTGGGGGATTTTGAGGGCAGCAAGTTGATGGAGCCACTTCACAGTGCTGGATGGGGATTTCCCAGGAGGCCCCGCCTGCTTGAGTCATCGAGTCCTGTGTTTGACCTGTGGCTCTGCACAGCCAGCACCAGAGCCTCGCTGGGCTGAGGAGTGGAAGGTCCTCTGCTGTCCTGAGATCACAAGGTTTGTCTGCTTGGGGCTGATGGGAACTCGAGAAGTGAGGCTGTCTTTTGTTCTTATTACAGATTTCTAGACTTTTCTTCCCTTCTAATTTATAAGTTCTATTCAACAGCCCACTATCTAAAGACCAAGAAAAATGGAGTTACTTCTCCCTCCCCCCCTTTTTTTTTGAGATACAGCTTCATGTAGCCCAGGAAAATCTTGACTCTCTTTGTAGCCAAGGATGACCTTGAATTTTTGATCCTCCTGCTTCCATCTCATGAGTGCTGTGATTACAGGTGTGTACCACCATGCTTGATTTATACAGTACTGGGGATGGAACCCAGGGGTTCACATAGCTAGGCAAGCATTCTACCAGCTGAATCACAGCCCCAGCTCCAGGATCTATTATTATTATTATTATTTTAGTGTATGAGTATATTGCCTGCATGTGTGTAAGTGTACCTGTGTGTGCAATGTCCATGGAGGTCAGAAGAAGGTATTGGATTCTCCTGGAACTGGAGTTACAGATGGTTGTTAGCCACCATGTGGGTGCTGGGAGTCAAACCCAGGTCCTCTGCAAGAGCAGCCAGTGCTCTTAATGGCTAAGCCATCTCTCCAGCCTTAGGATTTTTTTTTTAAAAAACAAGCTTCAAATCTCAAAATAGGCAAATCTAGGTCTATGTTTAAGAAAATATGACAGTGATGCCAGGCGTGGTGGTTCACACCTCTAATCCCAGCACTCGGAGGCAGAGGCAGGTGGATCTCTGTGAGTTCAAGGCCAGCCTGGTCTACATAGTGAGTTCCAGGACAGCTGGGGCTACAGGGAGACCCTGTCTCAAAAAGCCAAAAAAGAGAAAAATGCGACAGTGAATTAACGGAGAGGAGAGCAGTGACGTGTTCGGTTAGAGAGGGCACAGCAGCCACCAGGGCCTCCCTCTCCATGACAGGACCTGCCCATGCCTGGTCAGGACTCTGCTGCAGGGCAGCTAATGCAGACATCTCTGAAAGTCCCCAAAGTCCCTATTCTTGTTACTGCTGCGTTTGTGAACATGGAGAGTTCACGCCTGGGCTTTGGCAGACGTGCTGGGGGTCCATGACACCGGCTTTGCTGCAGAACTTCCTGTGAATTTGCTGCCTTCCCATAATATTCCAATCTTTTTAAATTTTTTTATTATTTTTATTTTATGTGTATGGTGTATTGCCTGCATGTAGGTAAGTGCACCTGTTTTGTGCAATGCCTGCGGAGGTCAGATGAGGCTGTCGGATCCCCTGGGATTGGAGTTAAGGACAGCTGATAGCTGCCATGTGGGTGCTGGGATTCGAACCCAGGTCTTCTGCAAGAACAACCAGTGTTTTTAACCTCTGAGCCATCTCCACCCCAATATTCCCATCTTTTAAAAAGATTTGTTCTTAAATTGTGTGTGTGTGTGTATGTGTGTGTGTGTGTGTGTGTGTGTGTGTGTGTGTGTGTGTGTGTGTGTGTGTGTGTGTGTGTGTGTGTGTGTGTGTGTGCGAGCACACATGAGTGCAGCCCTCAGAAGATGCCAGAGGTGTTGATTTCCTGGAGCTGGAGTTACAGGTTGTTAGCTGTCAGGCATGAGTGCTCAGAACTGATCAGGTCCTCTGGAAGAACACTATGTGCTCTTAACCTCTGAGCCATCTATCCAGCCCCAATAATCCAGTTTTAATTGTTCCTTTAAAAAAACAGAATTAAGGTCAAGCAGCAGTTGAAATGTAGTAATTCTGGAAGGAAAATCTACCCCATTCTTGGAAGTATCTGTATTTGCAGAATGATATTTGTGAGATCAACTTTTTCTTTTTGAAATAGAATCTCATGTGGCCTAGGCTGTCTTGAACACACTATGTAGCTGAGGATAACCTTGAACTCTTGATCCTCCAGTCTCTATCTCTTTTTTCTTTTTACAACTGTTTTGTTTTGTTTTTTTTGGTCTTTTTGAGACAGGGTCTCTCTGTAGTCCCTGCTGGCCTGGAACTTGCTATGTACACCAGGCTGTCCTCAAACTCACAGGGATCCACCTGCCTCTGCCTCCCAAGTGCTGGGACTAAAGGTGTGCGCCACCACACCTGGCTCTACCTTCTTAATGCTATGATTACAGGTATGCAATACCGCATCTGGTTTATGCAGTGCTGGGGATCAAACCCAGGGCTTTGTACATACCAGGCAAGCACTCTCCCAACTGAGCCACATCCTTAGCCCCAGACCAACCCATGTGATTGACATTCTTTTGAAATCTTCTTTGCTAGTGTCGTATGTATTCGAAATTTCATCATGGGAAACAACTGTTACAACTTGGTGGTAACCGTGCTGTTAGTTGTGAGTATTGAAGGAGTGAGAACCCAGGAGGATCCCTGTGAAAAGTGTGAGGCTGGTAAGTACCGAGCTGACAGGGACATTCTCTGACTTGGTGAAGACATGGTTCAGTTAGCCTGGCCTTCGGGACTGGCTCCTGGTGTCAAGTCAGTCACGTGCAAACTCTTATTGAATACTACAGACTAGTTGTGGGAACCCAGCAGGGTCATTTAGCCTCTGTACCTCAACTTTGCCTTCTGGGGATAATCAGAGAAATTGTTGCATAGGATTGGCGGGAAGAGTTCTAAGACAAGCTCAGAACAGTGGATGGTATGGGGTAAGACCTTCAGAAAGGTTAGCTTTGTGTGCAAGGCCCTGTGCACACAGCATCCAGGAGCAAGCAGATGGCAGCAGGTGACAGCGGTCTTAACAGAGTGGGACAAGGGGAGGCAGTACAGCCTCGGTACCCTGAGCAACGCGGTGCTTCTCCTGGTGCTGTCCTGCTATTGTTCAGGTCCCTCTAGAGGAATTATCGTCCTGTTCGATTGATACAGGATTTTCTTCTATTGATTTCTTCCTTGTAACTTGTGCATGTTGTTTCTAATTCTTTGATTATGGCAAGAGTAATCGTACGAATACACAATGTCTTAAATAGTCCATCAACTAAATAATGTCTATCACTGTGCTTTTATTTGTATTTTTCTAGTAAGCTTCTTGATGCTTTGTGGGATGGTTATACATTGTCGAACTATGCCCCTGTTATACCATTTCAGGTACTTTCTGTAAGAAAAACAACAGAGCTTGTGCTCCCTGTCCTTCGAGCACTTACTCCAGCACAGGTGGACAACGGTACTGTAACCACTGCACTAAGTGTGAAGGTAGGTCTGTCCATCCATACCGCTGTCTGTCTGAGACAGGCTCGTGCTATGTTGCCCAGGCTAGCCTCAAAGTTGTGCCCCTCCTCATCAGCCTCCTCAGTGTGAAGGTTCACTTTTCCCGAGGTTCCTTCCTCTGGAAGATTGCTGGGAAGAGACAAGGTTTCCTTTCCTGTCCGCTGCTCCATCTCTGCTGACCATTTTTATCCTCGTAGACGCTAACGCCTCTGCCCACAGGCAGGTGCAGCAAAATCGTTTCATGTAATAGCAAGCATTTTTGATGAGCTTTTTAAATATTCGAGGAAATACTTATTTGACATGAGATCTTTTTCACACTGTCTCATGTAGTGAGACTTTGCCCTTCCTCCCCACATGCTCAGATGCCACACATGCACGGCCATACCTGGTTTATGCAGTTCTGTGGGTCAAAGCCAGGGCTCTGTGCATGCTAGGCAAGCACCCTACCAACAGAGCCACAGCCCCAACCCAAGAGACACTTTTTTTTTTCTTTTTCTTTTTCGGTCTTTTTGAGACAGGGTCTCCCTGTGGCCCCAGCTGTCCTGGAACCCACTATGTAGACCAGGCTGGCCTTGAACTCAGAGAGATCCGCCTGCCTCTGCCTCCCAAGAGACACTTTTAATGGGCAAAGTGTAAAGATAGCCCTATGGAGACAAGAAAACAATCCCAGCCAGGCGTGGTGGCGCATACCTGTAATCCCAGCACTGGGAGACTGAGGTGGGAGGATTTTGAGTTAGAAGCCAGCCTGGGCTAGATAATGAGATTCTATGTGAAAAATAATAAAAAAAGAGTAAACATGGCACTCTAAAGTCATGGTAACATCACAAACAGAGCAAGCACAGGTTTGTTTATTGTTTACTGTACACACAGATCAGCTCCCTGTATTTGGAGGCCAAGTATAACAGTCCTGGGGCTTTGCAGGTAATTTCAGGGTCAAGAAGCCTTGCTCCCGCACCAGCAATGCGGAGTGCGACTGTATCCCTGGATACCACTGCCTGGGGGCAAATTGCAGCAGGTGCGAAGAAGATTGCAAGGAAGGCCAAGAATTAACAAAAGATGGTACGTTCATTCCTTTTCCAGCCAGTCCAAGTTTGTGAGGTAGACACATTCCTTATGAGTCTCAGAATCTTAAAGAGACAAGCAACAGATCAGACATTCAAGTATGTGACTTTGTGTGTGTGTCTCTCTTGGTCTTTTTGAGACAGGGTCTCCCTGTAGCCCCAGCTGGCCTGGAACTCGCTATGTAGACCAGGCTGGTCTTGAACTCAGAGATCCGCTTGCCTCTGCCTCCCAGTGCTGGGATTAAAGTCCTCACCATCACACCTGGCCTCCTTCTTATTCTTGATATGATTTTTCTTCAAGGTTGTAAAGACTGTCCCTTTGGAACATTTAATAACCTGGAAGGTGGTGGCAGCTGTGGACCCTGGACAAAGTATGTACATATTTTCACTTTACTTACAAAATAAAGGATCTGGGCTAAACTAAAAGACAAAGAATGCCATCACTCAAATGCAGACTACAGTGTTACACCCCTAGGTGTGCGTGGGAACGTGAGCTCACAGTGACTCAAATGAAAGTGGGCGTTTCCTCAGAACTCATGCTGAGGTGTAGAGAGCAGGTCTGTGCTTGCACTTGCACACCTTCTGCCTCCCTGCCTCAGTTTGCCTCTTCTTCCTCACCTCTTTCCTCTCATCTTCCCTCACCGATCGACCCATCTCAGGTGCTCAGTGCCATCACTGGGAATGGCACGTGACATACACGTGTTGTGCTGGCCACCACAGGGAGACAGACGGCTGGCAGCATGGGCTTGCAGGGTTAGAACCAGGTTCTGTGGATGGGCACTGGCTCACGTGACACTTGTTGTCCAGGACAGCAGTGGTCTGGGTGTGGAAGTCACACACTCAGAGATTGGGAAGGCAAACTGGCAGTCGTGTGGACTGTGGACTCTGATGATAAAATTTAAAAAGGGCCTCACATTTTATAGGCCTGTGATTTTTTTCTGTTTGATTTTCTTAGTAAAAAATGAATTTTATTATTCTGGATAACAGCTTAGAAATTTTTTTGTTGTTCTTTTTGAGACAGGGTCTCCCTGTAGCCCCAGATGGCTTGGAACTCACTATGTAGACCAGGCTGATCTTGAACTCACAGAGATCCGCCTACCTCTGCCTCCTCAAGTGCTAGGATTAAAGGCATGTGTCACCATGTCTGGCCAGATGAGAATGTTTTTGAAAAAGGTCTTTCACCCTAAATTGATCAGAATATTCAAGTGAGTATGCATGGAAAAGTGGTGGTGATGGTGATGGGAGTGATGGAGGTGCTGGTGGTGATGGTGATGGTGAGTGTGATGGTGGTGGTGGTGATGATGGTGATGATGATGGTGGTGATGGTGATGATGATAATGATGGTGGTGGTGGTGATGATGGTGATGATGGTGGTGGTGGTGATGATGGTGGTGGTGGTGATGATGGTGATGATGGTGGTGGTGATGGTGGTGGTGATGGTGGTGATGATAGTGATGATGGTGGTGGTGATGGTGATAGTGATGACGGTGATGGCGATGATGGTGATGGTGATGGTGATGATGGTGGTGATGATGATGGTGAGTGTGATGGTGGTGATGATGGTGATGATAGTGGTGGTGATGGTGGTGGTGATGGTGGTGGTGATGGTGGTGATGGTGATGATGATAGTGATGATGGTGGTGGTGATGGTGATAGTGATGATGACGGTGATGGCAATGATGGTAATGGTGATGGTGATGGTGATGATGGTGGTGACGATGATGGTGAGTGTGATGGTGGTGATGGTGATGATGATAGTGATGATGGTGGTGGTGATGATGGTGGTGGTGATGGTGGTGGTGATGGTGGTGATGGTGATGATAGTGATGATGGTGGTGGTGATGGTGATAGTGATGATGGCAATGATGGTAATGGTGATGGTGATGATGATAATGGTGGTGATGGTGGTGGTGATGGTGATGATGGTGGTGACAATGATGGTGAGTGTGATGGTGGTGATGGTGATGATAGTGATGATGACAGTGACAGTGATGATAGAAATGATGGTAGTGATAGCGGTGGTGGTGGTGTGATGGTGATGGTGATAATGACAGTAGTGACAGTGATGGTGGTGAGAGTGGTGATGATGATGATGGTGACTGTGATGAAGATGGTAACAATAGCTACCATTCACTGAGTATGTCCAGCATGTGAAAGTATGTCCCCAGGACTCATTCATTTGGGTTCATCCCAGCCCCGGGAGCACAGGCAGCCCTGTCTGAGCAGATGAGAAGGCCAAGGCTTAGAGAGACTTTATAATTTGCCCAAGGCCATTCTGTAGAGTTCCAGACCTGGCTCAAACCTGCTTTTTTTTTCTGAAGCCAGTACTAGAATCACTGAGCCTTATTGATGTTATACATGTGCCCAAGTCAGTCACACATGAGCAGGAAATTTGGGAGGAGGGTCGAGAGACTAAAGTTGCAGAACAAGTTGCGCCACACAGGCTGAACTGTGTGTCATGGAACAAGACAGAACGCACATGGCTCCTCAGCCTGGGGAGAAACAAGAGCCTGGTGGAGTGGGATGAACTGTGTGGCACCTCAAAGCTGAAGGGAAACTGGAGGAGGTCAGTCCAGTGGAACTTTCTCACACTATCTGCCTGCTGTCTGTGAGCTCAGGCCCACTTACTTACTCACTGGGTGACAAATACCACAGTTTTTCATTGGGTTCCTCTGTACCTAAATTAATCATTTGAACTCTTTTTCTTAACTTGAATAAGCTGTTCTCTAGACGGAAAGTCTGTGCACAGGAATGGGACCAAGAACAGCGATGTGGTCTGTGGACCTACCTCTGCAGGTGGACGTATCTTCTCTCCAGGTACCCCCCCCCACTGTACCCACCCCAGTGAGAGAGCCAGGTAGCCAGTGTGTTGCCATTAAATAAAAGTGACAAAGTGTGGGGCTACAGGCCTGGAATCCCACCACTGTAAGGGCTGAGGCAGGAGGATTGCCAAGTTCCAAGCCAGCCTGGGCTATACAGTGAGACCCTATCTAAAAAGAAATCAAATGGATGTATGATGTCTACCCAGACTGTATGTCCATGTCTTCAGCACTGTGGGGTCTCCTGCCCACAGCAGGAGGCTCCGAGGTCCCTTCCACTGTATACCCTGCTGCTTAGTCTTGGGTATCATTACTCAATCAGTTTACACTAGTAACGGTGCATGGTGCCCCATACTCTCTATGCTGGAAGGACCGGGCTGCTTAGTTTCTCAGGCTTCTAGGAAAATCATTACATTTGGGTTCATTTCTGAAAGCCATCTAGGTTTAGGACTGAGGACGTGACTCATTTGGCAGAGCGCTTACCTAGCATGCAGCAAAGGCCCTGCATTTGATTTTCAGCACTGCGTAAATTGTGCATGATGGTGCACACCTCTAATCCCAGTACTCAGGAAGTACAGGCAGAAGGATCAGGAGTTCAGGGTCATCCTCAGCTACGAATGGAATTTGAAGATAGCCTGGGATACTTAAGGCTCTGCCTCCGAAACAAAACAGAAGCAACAAACACACAGAAACCAGCAAAGTCATCTAAGGTGATAAGCTCTGGGGTTAGAGGTGCCTGAGGCACAGCCTGACCTAGGGCCAGGCGTTTGTAGGTTAAGTACAGACTCAGGCCAGCTTGTCTGGTAAACACTGAGCATGCCTCCTCTTGCTCTTGAAGAAGGGCACTCCCCACAGGTCCTCACCATCCTCCTGGCGTTGACATTAGCCACGTTGCTGTTCCTGCTCCTCTTTGTCATTCTCCGGCTTTCCATGGTCAAATGGAGCAGAAAGAAATTCCTGAATATATTCAAGCAACGTAAGTCCAATGCACTATGGGGATGCTATCTTCTCCAGGAAGGGCTTTTCACAGTAGAAAGGAAAAGAGAGTTTAAAAACTTAAAAAAAATATTTTATTATTTTTATTTTATGTGTATGAGTGTTATGCCTGCATGTAGGTAAATACACCCATGTTGTGCAATGTCTGTGGAGGACAGAAGAGGCTCTTGGATCCCCTGGAACTGGAGTTATGGACAGTTGTTAGCTGCCATGTGGGTGCTGGGATTCGAACCCAGGTCTTCTGCAAGAACAACCAGTGTTCTTAACTGCTGAGCCATCTCTCCAGCCCCGAGAGTTTAAAAACTTTGAAAACTTATTTATTGTGTGTGATGGAGGCACATGGTGAGGCCAGAGGGCAACTTTTCAGAGTTGGCTCTCTCCTATTCCCAGGGTCGAACTCAGGTCATCAGGCCTGTGAGGTGCCTTTTACCGCTGAGCCATCTTACCTGCCTGGATTTTTTTAAAGTTATGGACATAAGATTAGCCTAGCACAGTGGTTGCAAAGCAGCAGTCTTGTTCCTGAGTGGTACTGGCAGTGTCTGAAGACAGTTGTGGTCATGGTTTGGTGGTGTTGGGAGGTCTTGTTGGGGTCGAACTAAGGAGACCTTGATACTTGTACAATGCACAAGGAAACCCCCAGCCACAAGGGTCCAGCTCCATGTGTCCACAGGGCTGAGATAGAGACTGAATATGGACAAAACTCACAGATACCTATGCATCGCATGTCAGTGTGTACATCACATCGGTGTGTGCATTCAGCCAGCCTGTGTCTCAGAATGCCACCCCAGGGGTTGGGAAGATAGCTCCATTGGTAAAACGCTGACTTTGCAAGCAAAAAGACTGAGTGTGAGCCCCAGATCCCACATTTAAAAAGCTTTGGCACACACTTGTAATTTTAGCACAAGGCAAGCAGATCCTGGGGTTTGCTAGCCAGTCAGTCTAGCCTATTTGATGAACTCCTGCCCAGTGAGAGACCCTGTCTCAAAAAAAAAAGGCAGAAAGTCATCCTGAGGAATGACAACTGAGGTTGACCTCCAACCTCCATATGCACATGCACACGTGCACTTTCACACATTGGCACACAGGTGCAGATGCACAAAGAACGTCTCCCCACCCAGTGTGGCTTCCCCAGTTGGTAAATGGCCTTAGCCTCACCTTCAGTGTGACTCAGAGAGGACCTAAGGGTGTTAAAGAGGGTGTAATGAAATGGACTGTCACAACATCAAGCCAAATTGAATGAAAAATTTCAAAGACAGATTTCATTCATTGACCCACTAGACAAGACTCTATCAAGAACCAAGCTAGTGTCTGGCAGAGTCGGTGTCCCCTATGCAAGAGCTGTCAGCATTTATGTTCAGCTTACGGTTTATAGATGGGGCGATGTGCGTTTTGACTCTGTAGAGGACAGGATGAAAGATAACAGGCTAGACTTAAGAGACTCAAGTAAAAGAGGCATCCAGGTGGCCAAATCACAGCTGTAGACTCTAGAAGACAGGAGACTGTCTATTTGGAAGTTGTTAAAAATATGTGAGGAGGGTCAGCAAGATGGCTCAGTGGGTAAAGGCACTCACCACCAAGACCGATGACCTGAGTTCAATCTCCAGGACCCACATGGTGGAAGGAAAAAGCCAAGTCCCACTGACTGTCATCTGACCACACACACACACACACAAATGTAAAAAAAGATTCTGAGAAGGGAACTAGAGAGGTGGCTCAGTAGACAAGCTTGCTTGCTTGCTGTATAAACATGAAGACCTGAGTTCAGATTCCAGCACCCACATTAAAAGCCAGATGTGACCCCCAGTGCTGTGGGAGACCAAGACAGGGGAATCACTAAGGCTCACTGGCTGCCAACCTAGCCTCAAGCTCAGCAGAGATCCTATTTCAAAGGGACAAGGATAGTGCTAGATAGTCCAGGACACCTGGACACCCTCCTCTGGCCTCCAGGTGCATGCATAGGCACACACATATACACACACACACGCATGCACGCACGCACACACGCACGCAGACACCCGTGCGCGTGTAAACATACAACAAAAAAAAATACTTGCAGAAAAACATTAGTGAAATCTTATCTAAAGATGCATTTCAGCTGGGCGTGGTGGCCCATGCCTCTAACCCCAGCACTCGGGAGGCAGAGGCAGGCGGATCTCTGTGAGTTCAAGGCCAGCCTGGTCTACATAGTGAGCTCCAGGCCAGCTGGGGCTACAGGGAGACCCTGTCCCAAAAAGATTAAAAAAAGAAATACATTTCATATTATGAAAAGTTCTTTTGAAAATGACAAGCCGTTCTATGCTTTGAAATGTGTGGGAAAAGTGAATACGTATGAAGTTTAAGTGTTGTAAAATAAACTCCTCCCAGATCAAGCTTCCGGAAACCCGATTTTTTCTGGTTCCAGCTGACAGCACTCCCTCCCCACCACCGCTAACCACATCTAGATTTTCATGGTCTTCACTTCCTGGCTCGTCTTCCGAGTTGTGCTAAAGGCAGTTTCATTTAGCTGCATGTGTGCGTCATTGGTGGGACCCACACTGTATCCCGTGTCTTTCTCCTTGCCATTAACACTGTGTCTTCAAGGCTCATTCCCTGGTTGAGGTCACTGTAATCGAGTTCCATTACCGTGTGTGTGTTTATATGTCTGTGGTGTGCATGCCTGTGTGTGCATGTTCACATATGTGTGGGCATACATATGTGTGTGCGTGTAGGACAAAGTTACTGTTGGTTTTCTATTGAGTCAGGGTCTTTCAGTTGAACCCAGAGCTTGTTGACCATCTATCTAACCCAGCTGGCCAGCTTGCCCTGTGGGATCCCCCACCCCTCAACCCCATCTCTGCCTCCAGAGTGCTGAAGTGCTCAGATTACAGGGAGCTGCCACCCATGACTGGCTTTTACATGGGTTCTGGGGATCTGAACTCTGATCTTCATGTGTGCATGGCAAGTGTTTGATCCACTGAGCCATCTACAAGTCCTTGTTTCTTTTTTTTTTAAACCTAGGAAGAGGGTCTGGGATATTAGGACTTAAATCTTATCCATCTTAGGTAGCTTAAACTGTTTTCCAAAAATAGTCAGGACCACACTTGGCCTCTTCAGAGGGGTGTGCACTCTTTCTCTGCCAACTCTGGGTGTCTGAGTACTAGGGGACTATTTTGGGGGGGGTCTTTTTGAAACAGTGTCTCCCTGTAGCTCCAGCTCGCCTGGAACTCACTATGTAGACCAGGCTGGCCTTGAATACACAGAGATCTGCCTGCCTCTGCCTCCCGAGTGCTGGGACTGTAGGCGTGTGCCACCATGCCCGGCTAGTGGTACTCTTTTTACCTATCTAGTGGGTGGGGCGTAGTAGCTAATTGTGGTTTTGATTTGCATTCCCTGGTGATGGGTATTGTTGGAAGCCTTTTCTGGTTTGATAGCCATTTGAATTTCCTCCTTTGAGAAGTCTCCTAGAGCCCAGCCATTCTTCCTCTCCTTATCAGTGACGGGAACTCTGTGTCCCCTCCTGTTTGGCTCTTTCCCTCTCCTTCCCAGACCTTCATCTCTCACAGAAACTCTTAGGCTGCCACAAGAGGCCGACTTAAAGAACTACCACCTGTCTCACCCAGAGTGACAGCAAGGGTCCTCTTAAGTGTTCCTCAAAGGTATTAACCAGTGAGTGGCATTGGAACTGTAATTCATTTTTAAAAACCCTTAAAACCTTTTTACTTTGAAATCGTTACATATTCACAGAAAGTTGCAAACACGGCACAAAATAGTGTCCCATACATTTTCGGGGCTCTGTCTGACAGCACGGTAAGACCAGGACACTGTAGTTACTGTATCACATGTGGGTCCCTCTAACTGGCAACACAATCAAAACACAGCAGTAAAGCCAGGCATGTGCACGCCTGCAATCCCAGCACTCAGGAGAGGGAAACAGCAAGGTCTCAAGTTTAAGACCCTGGGTTACACGGTGAGCCCTGGACTTAACAAAGAGAACCCCCCAAACCATACAGACTGTCACTACCAAGATCAGCCCCTGCTGGTCCTTTTCAGTCTCTCCCGTCAGCCCTCTCGGGAAGCCACTCATCTGTTTTCAGTGTTTTAGCCCAACATGAAAAAAATGTGATGGATCCTTATGTGTGGGTTTATGTGGACATAGGTTTTTATGTCTCTAAGATAAATGTAGTTGCAGGGTCACGTGCTAAGTGTTTAGCTTTTGTTTACTTGTTTGTTTTGTGTGAGTGTGCACATACTACTGTGACCATGTGGAGGTCAGAAGACAACCTGCAGGAATGGTTCTCCCCTTCCATCATGTGGGTTCCAGAGACCCAACTCTGGCTTGGTGGCACCTTTACCTGCTGAGCTCTCTCTAGCCTCAATGTTAGTTTTGGAAGAAAGCTCTTCCAAAAGGAATTGTACCATTTTACAGATCCACTTCGTCCTGGCCAGTGTTTTGTACCATCACAGCTTTTTGTCTTATTTTGTTTTATCACACATGCTCCAATAGGTGTGCAGTGATCTCAAGTGGCCTTGGTCTGTATTTCCCTCATGTTCAAATACTGTTTTGTGTGCTCAGTCTCCATTTGTACACAGGCATGTGCACACAGGCACACGCACACATACAGATACATTGATCTATATATATCTTCTTTAGGGAGGCAATCTTTCATTTCATTTCTCTCTCTCTCTCTCTCTCTCTCTCTCTCTCTCTCTCTCTCTCTCTCTTTTGTCCCTTCTTCCCTGGGTCTCTCTGTAGCCTCAGCTGGCCCAGAACTTGCTATGTAGACAAAGCTGGCCTCAATCTCACAGACTCTGCCTGCTTCTCCTGGGGTTAAAGGTGTGCACCACCACGCCTGGCTACAGCCAGTATTCTTAACCGCTGAACCATCTCTCCAGTTCCTTAAAAAAAAAAAAAAAATTTAAGTAAAAGAAAATAAGTCATGTGGGGATTGCTTATAAAGCCGGTACCTGGTTAGTGTTGAGAATGTTTGCAGGTGTGACTAGTGGAAAATAAATGAGACGAAAACAGGCACCAAGACACAAGTGTCTTTCACGTTGTTTTCTAGCTTTTAAGACACCGATGGCTCAAGAGGAAGATGCCTGTAGCTGCCGATTTCCAGAAGAAGAAGAAGGAGGCAGCCTGTGAACTGTAACGTGCTGTCCTAGGAGCTGTGGGGATGCTGGGCAAAGCAAAGGAGAAACACTAGCAACCCATCGTCCTGCCCTGCTCCGACGCCGTCCTGGACAACCCCCAGGATGCACCCTGTTCATTTGTTTTCTAACATGAATGTGTTTGTCTTTAAAAATTCACGCACGCACGCACTCACGCACACACACCTTTTTTAAAAGACAGGGTCTCACTGTGTGGCCCCAGCTGGCCTGGAACTCACTATGTAGACCAGGCTGGCCTTGAGTGCTCAGAGACCCCCTATCTCTGCCTCCTGAGTGCTGGGATTAAAGGCGTGAACTGGTTAAAATTTACCATTTTTAACAGAAGTATGGAAAAAGCAAGAGGTGAAAGGCCACTTATAGATGATTCTCCTTAGCGGTCTTGAGCTATTTTTTTTTTTTAATCTGAAGTAAACGGAAGTTTCATTTCAATCACATTGACCCAAGGTCCAGCTAAAATCATCATAAAAATCAACATAGGTGTATATGCACCAGTGAGACAAGCCAGCAAGTCATAAGATGCAGTGCGTCCTCCAACCAAATTGTCCATAACACAGCTCCCTCCTCCACCGTCCACAAGATGCGATGTCCAGAGGTAGGGCTGAGGTGAGACCTGTCAGAACTTGAGGAGGAGTGCCAGGAAGCGCTCAGGCGTGTGCCTCCTGTTGTGCTCTCTACCCCCATGCCTTCCAGCTTGTGTCTCTAGCCAGGATACAGCAATCAGCACAACACACAGGAAAGGTATGAAGCACTGGGAGGAAGTGAGCACCGACCTCAGCAGGAGCACGGCCTCCACACCCCACGGCCCGCCATGGCCCCCCATGGCCCCCACATCCCAAAGCCCACCACGGCCTCCACTTGCTTTGCTACAGCTCAGGAGTTAAGAATGATTTTTACATTGATAGACGGTTTTTAATAATTTATTTATTTTTATTTTATGTGCATAAATGTTTTGCCTGCATGTACATGCATGCGCCATGTGCATACAGTGCCCCACAAAGGCCAGAAGAGGGCATCGGATCCCCTGGAATTAGAGTTACAGACAGTTGTGAACTGCCTTGTGGGTGCTGGGAACCCATGTCTGTTGTAAGAGCATCCAGTGCTCTTAACTGTTGAACTATCTCTCTAGCCCCTAGATGATTTTTTTAAATTGAAAGGACAAGATCTTGTGACACATAAAATTATTCAAAACTCAAATTTGTCCATTGTAAAGGTCTGTGGACACAGCGCACCCGTGGTTCAAGACTACTTGCCTTTGCAGTTCAGTTGAGGATTTGTGTCTGGGACTGGTCCACAAAGCCTGATGCATTAGAGTCAGGGCCAAGGGGCATCTGCCCCTCCTCATCTGTTCACCTCCAGGTGGCGGCTCTTGGGAAATTTGAGACTGTTTATCTCTGGCTTCGAAAAAAAAATCGTTTATCATGTAATTAAGTACCCTGAAACTGTTATTACATTTTTATTGTTTTTGAGCTTTCTGATATGCTGTGTGGAGACATTTGTGAGTTGCTTTAATCATTCAGAATTCTATTTATAACTCTGATTGCCCTGTGCAGCCCTTTTGTAGAGATTTTCTATCATGATTTATGAGTCCCTCCTCTCCCAAGGTACATTTGGATTCTTTAACGGTTTTTTACAGTCACTGGGTTGCTATAGATGTTCTTTTACACATTGCCTGTGCAGGGCTGTTTCCAGGGAGACTTTCTGAAAGTAGAATTGCTGGATCCTTGTTGAGTACCAAACTTCAGAAGCAGGTGGCTAAATCAGTTAGGACATGTCAGGTCATACAGCAATAACAAATGACTCCCTAGATCTTAATGGAGTACAACAAAGCAGGTACCTTACCTTTTTTTGTATGTATGTGCATGTGTGTGGGGGGTGTGCATGTATATGTACATATGGGGGGGTACATGTATGTACTTGTGAAGGCCAGAGGTCAACTTTGGGTATTGTTCCACCTTGGGTTTGTTTGTTTTTTATTTTTTATTTTATTTTATGTGTATGAGTGTATTGCCTGCATGTATGTGAGTGCACCTGTGTCATGTAATGCCGTGGAGGTCAGAGGGCGTCAGATTCCCCTGGAACCGGAGTTACGGATGGTTGTTAGCTGCCATGTGGGTGCTGGGAATCAAACCCGGCTCCTCTGCAAGAGTAGGCTCTTAACCGCTGAGCCATCTCGCCAGCCCTGTTTGTTTTGTCTTTTTGAGACAGGGTCTCCCTGTAGCCCCAGCTGGCCTGGAACTCTCTATGTAGACCAGGCTACAGAGATCTGCCTGCCTCTGCTTCCTGAGGGCTAGGATTAAAGGTGTGTGCCACTATGTCCAGTCTACATTTTTTTTCAAGACAGTCTCTGACTGATCTGGAACACATCAATTAGGTTTGGTTGACTGGCCAGCAGCCCAAGGGACCTCCCAGTCTCCACTTTGGCAGGGTTGGGATTACAAGCATGCTCCAGACACTTGCCTTTGCTTGTGGGCACTGGGGATTGGACTAAGGTCCTCAGACTTACACAGCAAGCACATTACCATTTCTTTTTAATTTTTTTTATTTTTATTTTATATGTATTACTATATTGCCTGCATATATGTAAGTGCACCTGTGTCCTGCAGTGCCCATGGAGGTCAGAAGGTGTCAAATTCCCTGGAATTAAAGCTAGCAGCAGTTATTAGCTGCCATGTGGGTTCTGGGAATCAAACCCGGGTCCCCTGCAAGAGCACCCAGTGCTCTTAACTGCTGAGCCATCTCTCTAGCTCCACATGGCCATTTTTTATTGTCATTGCATGCCCATTCTAGCCACAACTCTGTGTTATGGCTCAAATATGAGATGCTCCCACAGGCTCCTGTGTTGGACACCTGGCTCCCAGACTGTGGCTGCACTGTTCAAATGCCATTAAGGAGGACTGGGTCCCATTACTATCCTGTCCCACATATTTTGTTTGAATTACTTTTTGGATGTATTTCTATTATTTTTACTTATGTGTATGTGCTTATGTCTATGTGTGGGTATGTGTACATGAGTGCAGGTGCCTGAGATCAGAAGAGGGTTTTGAATCCCCTGGATCTGGGGTTAGAGGCCGTTATGAGCCACCCTATGTGTGTGCTGGGAACCAAACTTTTGGTCTGCTGCAAGAGCAGCGTTGTGCTTAATCATCGAGTCATCTCTCCAGCCCCAGTTAGAATTATTTCTAAGAACTTTGCTTTGCTGTTGCTTTAAAATAGTTTGTTTTGCTGTTAGAGGTAGAAATATAGTTGGCTTGTTTATTTTGCCTCTTAACCAAACTTTCCTGGGTTTTTTTTTTGTTGTTGTTGTTGTTTTTTTTTTTGTCTTTTTGAGACAGGGTCTCCCTATAGCCCCAGCTGGCTTGGAACTCACTGTGTAGACCAGGCTGGCCTTGAACTCACAGAGACCCTTTAAACTCTGCCTCCCAAGTGCTGGAATTAAAGGAGTGCACCACCACACTCAGCTCCTGTTCTATTATTTTTTAACATTCTATTGTTTTTATTTTATGTGTATGAGTGTTATGCTTGCATCTGTGTAAGTGCACTTGCGTCATGCAATGTCCTTGGAGGTCAGGAGAGGGCATCGGATCCCCTGGAACTGGAGTTACAGATGGTTGTTAGCCACCGTGCAGAGCCTGGGAATCAAACCCAGGTCCTCTGGGGGAACAGCCAGAGTCATCTCTCTGGCCCCCAACTTTCCTGTTATTTCTAGTAATATGCAGGTAAATTCATCTTTCATTGTCAACCATGTTGTTTACAAAAACAACAGTTTCCTCCTTCTCTAGTCCTTTGTTTCTTATGGTTGACTTAATTGCTAGGACTTAATTCAACATGACAGTTTGTTCTTCTTTATAAGGAAATTTTAAGTGTACTTAATCAGATTAAGGAAATTCCCTTCTATTCCTTGGTTTGTGGATAAAATTTTTTTCCCTCATTTTTCTTCTTACTTTTGTTTGGGGGTGGTTGAAATAGCATCTCACTAGTCCAGGCTGACCTCAACTCACTGTGTAGTTGAGGATGACCTTGAACCCCTCCTCCTCCTCCTCCTCCTCCTCAGCTTCTAAAGTGCTGGGATCACAGGTGTGTATCACCATTTACAGTTCTTCTTAACATTTTTTTTTGACACAAAGTGTCTCTGTTGTCCAGGTTGGCCTGGAAGTCCTGGGCTCAATGGTCCTTTCTCAGCTTCCGGAGTAGCTGGGACAACAGGTATACCATCCGCCTGGAAGCTCTGTAAATTCCGAAGTGATTTCTCCTCTTGGCTCTGGGCACTGAGTGTCTCGTCGTCTCTTCTTCACCACCCACATTCAGGGGACTGGCCGTGTGTGGATCATCTGAGGAACCTGAGTTGCATTCTCATTTGCTCCAGACTAGGAACATACAGTATCACAGTATCTTCTGCTTTCCGGACAGAGACTGCATTCGTTATTTTCTCACCTCTGTGACGGAATACCTGGTAGAAAAATTTAAGGGAGGAAAGGTATACCTCGACTAAGGGTTTCAGAGGATTATAGTCCATCATGGTGGGGAAGGCGTGGCTGCAGGAGTGGTCCAACCTTGCAGTAGGAACATGTTAGGGGGCGCCTCACATCTTGGTGGGTTGGGAAGCTAGTATAGAACCAGAGGTTGATAGAACCTTCAAAAGCCCATCCTGCAGCTGGGGAGATGACTCCAGGCTTAAAAGCACTGGCTGCTTTTGCAGAGGACCCAGGTTCAGTTCCCAGCACCCACATGGTAGCTCACAACCCTCTGTAACTCTAGGTCCGGGGGATCCAACACCTCTTCTGACCTCCATGGGCACTGCACACATGTGGAACACATATATACATACAAGCAAAATGCTCATACACATAAAAATAAATAAAATATGTTTTTAAAAGGCTCATTCTGAGTGACCTATGTTGACTAGCAAGGTCCCATGGCCCAAAGGTTCCACACTCCCCCAAAGCAGCATCACCAGCTGGGGGCCAAGTACTCACAACATGTGCCTATGTGGAACATTCCAGATTCAAACCATAACAGACTGTGTTTACTCTTTAGACTGTCTAACACCTTTGTCATAGTATATTTTGGTGTTACATGTGAAAGTGGTAAACGCAAAGCACAGGAACTTGGAATGTGAGTCATCCTCCCCCAGCAGTTAACAAAAAAGGAGGAGACA